GTTTAAATGATTAAATTAACAGTTTGGACCATTTGCTAAACAAATATGTTTATTGGTTTACTATAAATATAAATAAGAAAATTATAAATTTTAAAATGATGAATCAAGGTAGCCACTACAACAAAAATTCTTCTACAAGAACAAAGTTCAATTTCAATAAAAACACCTTACGTAAACATATTTCCCGCAGCATCCTAGAATGCTTTTTAGCCACAGAAGGATTCCTGGCACACATGCCAGTGGTGTTACCTAAAAACATCCTTCCTGATAAAAGAATTCTTTAATATTTATTGGCGACCAATAATCTTAGATGTCCTGATATGTCAAGGTCAGAATATTCAATGTGCCAATCAAAGCCGTTACACTAAAGTCGTGTTGTTTCACATGATTGACCTTCTCCTTGATTGGACACATGCTGATCCCAACAGAATAAATTATATATTTTTTAACTTTAATATAATCAAAAATAAATTTTGATATATATATCTATAAGCCATTAACAAAATATAAGATAACATTAGTAAATATAAAGGTAAAATTTAAATAGAATATTTAGCAAAGTATAAATCCTTTAAAATGTAGATATATTACAAAATAAAAGTAATTTCAAAAAATGACACCTGTGGGATTCGAACCCACGAACTCTGTTGAGTCGCAGAACTTAAGTCTGGCGCCTTAGACCACTCGGCCAAGGTGTCTGAAGAATACAAATAGTATATAACATAAATGTTTATTGAAGATATATCATTACTTACTTAGAGTAAAATAATGACATTTATTCGATTTTTATACTTTTGTTATGTCCTGTAGCACAAAATAGGCAGCTGTTATTTTTTTTATTATATACAACTAAATTTTAAATAAATAAATTTTAATTAATTTTCTTTATCCTATGTCTCTCTTCTCGAAATGAATTATTTATAATCCACTATTCATTTCATTTTTTATTCTCTTCTGATTCTATCTTATTTTGTAACCTACTTTTTTTAAAAAGATAAGGTAAATTTTTATTTAATTTTTAACCCTTTTTTTCTTACTTTTATAAAATTTTTTGGATTTTTTATTAAGAAAGAATAACACAACTATTAAGCTA